GCCTGGCAGCAGTGGAGGCTGGAGCAGAGCACCCTGCACGCGGGCCAGCGCCAGCAGCAGGCCCTGAGGTGGTGTCTGAAGGGAGCCCAGGGTCCCCACTCTTCTCTCCGGGGGAGCACAGGTGTGTTTTCCAGGGTCTGGGGAGGTGGCCCCAAGAGAAAGGAACCCCACAGGACAGTCAGATTCCAGAACCTGAAGGCCTCCCGCCCGCCTCCCGCTCCCAACACGGAGCAGCTGAGCCAGAGACCCTCCCCAGGCTCAGCATTGTCCGAGAGGACTTTTCCCACCCTGGACCCAGATAGCCCCGCCCCCATCCAGGCCTGGCCCAAGTCCCTTCTTCAAGGGTCTCGCCAGCCTTGTCTGAAACTCCTGGGAAACTGTGTGGCTTCAAGAGGAGTTTATGATGTCTTTGGGGCTACAGATATGACCACCTTCCGGAATCATCTCCCTTTGACCAAGGCCAGCCAGGCCCCGGAAGAAGAAAGTGGGGAGCAGCTCCTGCCCGCTACCTCAAAACAGCAGCACGGGGAGGCCTCTCTGCAGGTAAACCCAGAAGAGCCCAGCCCCACCGTAGACCCCAGCTTGCAGCCACACCCTCCCACCAGGGTGGGCAAAGAATCCCCAAACTGGGGCCTCAGGGTCGGGCTCAGGCAACACCCTCTCTTGTTTCCCTCCAGGCCACCTTGCTGGGTCTGGCAGCCCTAAACCAGGCCTACCCAGCAGCGCTGGCCCCCGGGAACACAGCCTGTGTGACCCCTGCATCCCCCTGGCCCCACCCTCTCCCCTGGCCCTGGCAGGCCCTCAGTCAGGGTAGCCCCCCTGGAGCCAAGGACCCCAGGGCCCTGCTGCTGGAGGCACTGAGGTCCCCAGGGCTGCGGGCACTGGAAGCCAGGACGGCAGTCGAACTCCTGGACGTTTTCTCCGGCCTGGAGGCCGATGGCGAAGAGCTGGCTGAGGCAATAGCTGCTGGGAACCCCGGAGCGCCTCTCCCCACGCGAGCAGCTGAGCTGCGGGAAGCCCTCGAGCAGGGCCCCCGAGGACTGGCCCTGCGGCTCTGGCCAAAGCTGCAGGTGGTGGTGACTCTGGACGCAGGAGGCCAGGGCGAGGCTGTGGCTGCCCTGGAGGCCTTGTGGTGCCAAGGGCTAGCCTTCTTCTCCCCTGCTTATGCCACCTCTGGAGGTCAGCAAGACTCAAGGGTGGGAGCTGGGGTCAGGGGGCAGAGGGCACACTGCTGGCTGCCATATAGTGAGCCCTACTCATCTCATGTCATCATCTCATGTAATCCTCCCAACACCCTGTGACTCCCCCCAACACCAGCAGCTCCATTTTACACATGGAGAAACTGAGGCTCCTAGAGAGGTTGCACAAATTCACACAGCCCCAGCATTTACCCCCAGGCCTGCCACACCCAGAACCACTGCCTCTTCCCAATTAGGGCCCCAGAAGCAGGGTGCTGAGCCTGGGGAAGCCACAAAGGAGGGGGTGGGAGGGCAGCAGGAGAATCAGATGCTCAGAGGGTTGAGGCCCAGGGGTGAGGGCCTAGCAGAAAGCAATGGCCCCACCAGAAGAGGCTGCTTGCTTCCCGCAGGGGTGGTGGGCCTGAACCTGTGGCCAGAGCAGCCCGCTGGGCTCTACCTCCTCCCCCCTGGTGCTCCCTTGATTGAGCTGCTCCCAGTCCAGGAGGGAGGCCAGGAAGAGGCTGCCACCACTATCCTGTTGGCCGAGGCCCAGAAGGGCCAGGAATACGAGCTGGTGTTAACTGACCAGGCCAGCCTTACCAGGTGATCATCTGCCCACCCCCTGGTGCCTCAAGCCCTCTGGGACCTGTTGAGGACCAGAAGCATGAGCTGACGGGTCCTTGGGCCTGACCTCCCCTCACTCCACCCTGTCAGATGCCGCCTGGGTGACGTGGTTCGGGTAGTTGGTGCCTACAATCAGTGCCCAGTCGTCAGGTTCATCTGCAGGTGGGTGACGTCCCGGGGTGCTGAGGGGCCGTCCTTAAACCCTGGGCTCCTCTGCCTCCCGCTCCTTCCTTCCCAGGCTGGGCCAGTCCCTGAGTGTTCGAGGAGAAGACATCGGCGAGGACATGTTCTCTGAGGCCCTGGGCTGGGCGGTGGGGCAGTGGCCAGGGGCCAAGCTGTTGGACCATGTCTGTGTGGAGAGCAGCATTCTGGGTAAGCTTCTCCATTGGCTCCTGCTCCCCCATTCTTGGGTTAACTCTCCCACAATCCATGCCCCTCCTGCTGAGAGCTCTCCAGGAAGGAGGTCAGACCCAGCCTCCTTTGTGGCTACTAATAAGAGTCCTTCCCCAGGTCTCACTCCCATCCCTCCTGCTGCAGTCTCTCCCTAGTTGCTTTCCTGACTTGTTTCATATTTAGGACTAGGCCCTGGGTTCCTCTTCCTTTACCCTCCCTCCACACCAAGAAACCCCTGTTTTCCCACGAACCTCAGAGCAGAGGAGAACGAGGTGGGGCAGTGGGCGTTGGTTTTGGAGGCTGCCCCATTCACAGGAGTGCGTGTGCGTGGGTTTTGCCTGCAGATTCCTCCGGGGGCTCTGCTCCCCACTATGAGGTGTTTGTGGCACTGAGGGGGCTGAGGAACCTGTCGGAGGAAAATCGAGACAAGGTAAATGAGACAGGGACAGGGTCTGACTGCATGTCCCCTTCACTCTGCACCCCCCCACCCAGGTGCCGTGGGCACAGCCCAGTGAAGGGGAGGTGGGAGCAGGGAGGAGAACTTTCCCGAGGCTCTAAGAAGGGAGGGGTGAGTCCCAGATACACATGTACACATGAAACTCCTACCCACACACACACACACTAGGCACAGGCAAGCGCACCTCATCCACACACCACATGGCCACGCACCAGCCTCACTCAGCCGTTCTGTCCTCAGCTGGACCGCTGCCTCCAGGAAGCCTCTCCCTGCTACAAGGCCCTGCGCTTCCGCGGCAGCGTGGGCCCTGCCAGAGTCCACCTGGTGGGGCCGGGGGCCTTCAGAGCACTCCGGGAGGCCCTCGCTGCCTCCCCCTCAGCCCCCTTCCCTCCGGCCATGCCCCGGGTCCTCAGGCACAGGCACCTGGCCCAGCTCCTGCAGAGGAGAGTGGTGTCCTGAGCGGAGGCTGCCCGCTGGCCCCGCCGCCCCACAAGCTGCCACTCTCTTCCCTCTGGAGCCTCTCCAGATGGGGAGCCCTGGGCCAGGGTCTTTGACTCTGTGTCACCTCTCAGTCGCTCATCTGAGCTGCTGGGCCTTCGGGAGGTCCAACCTCGTCAGCCAGCTCTGAGGAGGTGACCTCGGGGTGTAGCAGACCCCACAGGGCAGGGCCCTGCCTGGAGCCCCGTGGGCCCCCTCTGGAGGACCCTGCTGGAGAGTTCCCATACACGCTGGTGCTCGTGTGTCTCCCAGCCCAGTGCACTGTGCAGGCTGCAAGTGTTGGGAGTTGGTGTTCCCGGGAGCACCCCTCAGTCAGCAAGGAACAGGAGTTGTGAATACCAGCCTCAGCTTCATTGTCCCTCAGAGCGACTATTCTGAAGTGTGTGTGCACCAGCTGCCCGCGGTGGCAACCCTCTCATTAACACGGTTCTTAAGGCATCCCTCCCGTCTCCACTCCCTGATGTGTTTTCTAGGATCACCTCCCAAATAAACCTCTTGCACCCAGATTCTTGGCTCAGGGTCTACGTTTGGGGAAACTGTAGTGGTCCCTTTGGCTCTGATCCTGCCGCAGCCTGTCCCCTCCCTTCAGCTCTGATCACAGGGCTTCCCCCTCTCTCCACTGGGGAGGCCCCAAGTGTGTGCATGCAGGAGACCTCGGGGACTCCTGCCATGGCCTAGGTCAACCCAGAAGACTCAGAGCCTCTCCTCCTCCCTCTCCCCATCCCAACCTTAACCTAAATGTGAAGGGGCTACTCCCCAACTTCCCTGGCCCTGGCTCAGCACGGGTCCCTTTCCCGGCCCAACACCCAGAAATCACTTCCATAGGCAGTGGCTCTACTGCAAATCATCAGAGCAGGAAGCAACCGCAGAGATTATGTGGGCTAACTGCCCGTCTTACGGGGGAGGGGGGGTCACGGAGGCTTCCTGAGGTTGTGAGACCTGCTCTGGGCCCAGCGGCTCCTCCTCAGTAATGCAGCACCTGTGTGTAAGTCTCTGCTTCTGTCCCCGAATGACTTCTCAATCCCATGCCCTACCTCCAGGCCCCTCTGCCCACCCACCCAGTCCCTGTATCAGCCCATGACTCCTTCCCACTAAAATCCCCATGGCTCCCCAGTGCCCCCAGGGTCAAGACTAATCAGCTTAGCCTCAAAGGCCCTTTGACCCATCCCCGGCCTTGCTTGCCTGTCAGCCACCTCTCCCCTCTGAGGAAAGCCACACCCCACTATCCCACATGAGTTAGGCATGGTCACCGCCAGGTCTTTGCTTCAGTTGTCCCTTCAGCAGAATGCCTTCTCCCCTGACCTTACCTGGTAGAAATCCCCTTTTCACGAAAGGCCTTTTCAGAGTCCTTCCTCCCACTGAGCTACCATTATATGCCGGGTCACACTCCCACCTGGACTTCGGAGCGCCTTGGAAACTGGGCATGTCCTATGCACATGTCACTCCAGAGCCCCGTGCAGGGCCTGACACAGACCAGCTGCTCAACAGACAGGGCCCTGAACAAGAGGGACTCCGGCGTGGGGGCTCACTCACTGCTGATGGCGGGATGGGACCCCGTCTCTCCCCTCCAGGAGGGAAGCTGGGGAGGTCAAAGGGTAAGACCAGGCACTTTTTCCCCCACTGCCCCGGTTTGGTTTTCAAGGTTTTCCATCTTGGAGGGTAGTGGAAGGGGCAGAGGGAACGGTCCTGGGGGAGGGAGGGAGAGCCCGATCATAAGCCGTTTTTCCATGGAGGAAG